GATTTTGAAATGTTTGTATCGACAAATGCATGGATTATTCTCAGTTAAATTAATGGGGGAAAAATCATAAAAATCAACGGTGTAAGTCGGCAATCACATAACTCGGTTTGCGATGTCACATACTTCCAGTCATACTTTATTTTTTAAACGGAAAACTACTCAACGGCAATTCTTTAAAACTGCCGTGATTTTCTTCTCTTTGCGAAGAAAATTCTGAAAAAACTTCAAGGAATGATGTCAATTCGTTCACCTTTAAAAAAACAACATAGAGGTGGAGATTTTCAGACACCGCAAACGAGTTATGTGATTGCCGACTTACACCGTCGATTTAATGTATTAGTTAAGATTCAATGTCAGTAATTTTCGTCGCGTGAATCATGTTCTATGTGAAATTTTGGTTGAGAAACATACATCGGAATGCTTAACTTGGTAGCTTGTCCCGTGGTCCATCTCCTTGTTTCCGCTAAGAATTCCCTGACTTTTCAGGTTTTCCGGACCGCCGCGACGGCAACCCTGAATGACAGTTTTCCGGAAGAATTCGTCCGGCGCTTACCCCAATATGTTAAGGAATGACCCCGACCGACACTGTAGTTTCAACTTGGCTTTGGCCGCACGCGGAAATGCAGCTAATGCCAAAGGGACTTGTCCGAAAATGCCGCGGCGGGAGCATGTTGGCCCAATTCAAAGGCAATCAATTCACTGGCTCCGGTGATCCACTCCAGCTGGATTTTCAACACCACCGTGTCGCCGTTTTTCCACCCGGACGCCACGACGACAGTGACTCATGCCCGCTATTAGTCCTCACTCTCAACCCCATGTCGCCACATTTCCTCATTTTCCCGATCAAGGAACCTTAGTCTGTTCCGTCCGAGCTTCCAACATTGAACATAACGAATCAATTTCTTACAAGCATGTACATTTCGACGGTGTAAGTCCGCAATCACATATCTCGTTTGCGGCGGTTGAAAATCTCCACCTCTATGATATTTTATTAAAGGAAACAAATTGACATCATTCCTTGAAGTTTTTGCAGGATTGTCTTCGCACAGAGAAGAAAAATCACGGCAATTTTAATGAATTGCCGTGGAGTAGTTTCCTGTTTAAAACATCTAGTATGACAGGAAGTCTGTGACGTCGCAAACCGAGTTATGTGATGGCCGACTCACACCGTTGATATGAAACTTTAGTGTATCCTCCGAAGGAAATACATTTGTCCATATTCTTTCTAATTTTCACATAAGATTAGAAAAAAATCAGTGAAAACAGTCGGAATTATCGAATATTTTCCTGGTAAACATGCAATTTGAGAAGGAAAATTTGGCAACATTGGTGTTTTTCAATTTGGAAAACCCAGCAATTCTTTGAAAAGAATACTCTTAACGGGGAAGACTTTTGCGGCTTTAAAAAATAGTTGCGTTCCTTCAAATCGTCGTCCCTCTGATGTAAGGGCGTATCTAGATTTCCGCATGCGCTCCAGAAGGCATGGGTTCATATGTAAAACAGGGCTCGCATGAAATCGAGGGATGCCCTTACGTCAGAGAGACGACAAAAAGGGATGACTTTCATACTCTACACATTTAAAAGTGTCAAAAGAGCCAACAAACCAAGGTGCACTCCTGCATTTAAGACTTGAAGGTATCCGAAAGCGAATCTCTTTTTCAATTACCGAGCGGGCACGGTGAAAACTTACGCAAATGCGCGCTAACTTTTTTCGTTTATCTGTTTTTCCGGGTGCAACATGTGATCACGTCGGGCGAGCGAATCAGCTTGCATTGTCTTTGCGAACGCCCTAGATGGGGGGAGGGGGGGGTGCAACATTCGTTTAACAATATTCAGAACATTTAATATAAGGGCGGAAAAAGTTCCGTTTTATCAGTTGCAGGGAAACTTTTGACCTGGGTTACTCTCGGAAGCAGGGTTTCCGCTTAGTATTCACCGGGCGTTGGGATTCTGGATGCACTCATTGTGTCTCTTTTAAATTTCGTCGCTTCGGTGAGGAAAGGGCATGAGTGGATTTTCGAATGAGCCTTGAATCTCCTAGATGTTACCCGGTAATAGGGTTCAGGTGAGACGAGGATCGTGTCCTTTGGTAAGACGGACAGTATGCCTCGGCCGGCGAGAGCTTGAATACAGATTGAGTGTTTGCCCGGGGAGTTAGGAGCGGCGCTTCAACTGGGACCTCGGACATACATGGAAGCTCGTTAGGGTGTTTTTCTCCCTCGCCGAGAAGCGACATTGTCGCGAATTGAGAGAAAATCCGAATCATATCGATTTTTTATATAAAAAAGGCTCAAATTGTGATAGGATCGTATAGGTTCTTCGTGAGGGGCGCAGGTAATGCACACTTGCGTGAGTGGCTGACTATCTTTTCCGCACAAAGCTCATTCGTGGTAATTTTTCCGACTATCGTTGCCGCACAAAATCATTTTCGAAAATAACAGTATTTCACATTCTCATGAACTAGCATATTTTTACCCCGGTTGCTTTTAATTATCTCAAAATTGTCGGATATGTTATCGATTAAAGACACGCTCTAAAAATGCATACCGAATCATTCGATTAAAATATAAAACTTGAAACTGTTGAAGACAGTTTTTATGCAATTATTTTCTCAGAAAATAGACTGAAATTATGTACAAAGCTACAGTATCTATTCAAGTATAAAGTAACATTGTTATGGTTCCTTACATACTTTTAGAAGCATTTTTGAAATCATGAAAAATTAAAGAAGATGGCCAACTTAAAGCTATACGCTTGTGAGCCTCGGTTCGGTAAGCTCCGCTTAGTAAGTTCGGTATAATGCGTGGAAACAAGTTGATGCACATCGATGGTTAAAGTGCAAAAGTACATACGTATCTCTATAGCTGTGTCTTAAAATTTCCTCTCCTATTTTATGTTTTCGAAGAAATACAAGCCAACTTCAGCTTGAAATTTATACCGATATTATATACTTACAGAGAAAGAAAATCAAGGAACTTCTCAAGAAATTACGTAGGCTATAGTTTTCCGCAGAAAACATAAAGTATGGTAGGAAAGCCTGCGTGTCACACTATCAAAGTTTGCCATGAAAATATCAAGGTCAGGTGTTGTGATTTACCTATTCGATGACTTGAACCGATCACAGCACTTGACCATGAAATTTTGATGGAGTATTTTGATAGTGTGACACGGGCTGAAGTCTGCAACATTGAAATGGAGACACACGGTTCCGCACTTTGGTCATCGATATGAAAAATATCGACGATGTGAGTCGGCAATCACATAACTCGGTTTGCGACGTCGCAGACTTCCTGTCATACTTTATTCTTTAAACGGAAAACTATTCAACGGCAATCCATTTAAACAACCGTGATTTTTTTTCCGTGATTTTGCCGTGATTTTTTTGCGAAAAAAATTCTGCATAAACTTCAAGGGATGATGTCGATTTGTTTTTCTTTAAAAAAATAATATAGAGGGGGAGATTTTCAGACACCGCAAATGAGATATGTGATTGCGGACTTACGCCGTCGATATACCGTATCCTGCCGTGCTAAGGAGGAACGCCGTATGAACAATCGAAAGTTGCCGAATTTCCACCCATTAAATGTTTATTTTTTAGGAAAGTTACGAATATTTGTCCTTGAAATTTTCAGATCTTTTATATTAAATTGCGAACAAAATCGTCTGAAACTTTCGAGGAAAAATATTCACCATTTACACAGTAAATTTATTTTTTATTGAAAGAGATATGGCAACGTGTGGAGGCTCATACGGTGTTTTTCCTTAGCATGGCAGTATTGACCGGTCCTTTGATTATCTTTACCAACAACCCTATAACGCGACTGAGGGAGGAACCTGTTCTCTGAACCGAAAAGCGCCTGCGGAACTTACCGGTTAAATTGTACGATTATATAATTTTCGTTCAATTTGGCATCTAACAGTGCTCTGAGTTCTCTTGGTTCCGATCTAGTTGCGGAAATCTTCCGATCACAGAAACAAAGTCTCAACTTTGATTCCCTTCTTTGAATAACGAAGCAGGCCGCGAGAAAATTGCCATACAAAGTTGTAGAGGTTTTGAGAGCACTGGGTAGAATTTTAAGAGCCATACTTTGTGCTTCGTATTTGTAGTCTCAGATTGATGGAGTTCATAGCAGATCCGGGCAGCTTCACTTTAATCAGCCTTAAAATTTTTTAAGGCTTCCTTTTCCCGAGGTTTTTAGGCGCCGTATAGACTCCGGCACCGAATTTCATTCCTCGATTTCTAACAGTTTCCTTTCGGGATTTCAACATGCAACTGTTAACCCTCTTACCTACGGATGATTAACAGCGTGTCGAATACGTATTTTGTTGTGCAAACGATCCAAATTTGATAAATATTTTTGGCTCATCGATCCAATCCAGAACCTTCTTAGGCAACCTATCTGGAATCCGTTGCACATGCTCCTACCAAACAAGCTGTTTCGTGAAAATGGCATGCACCATGTTGTTTTCGACGCCCAATATTTCACGTACCTTTTTATTTCGAACGTGATCATTTCTTGACACTTGGGCCGATCCAAGCCATTAGTTCATTTCGGTTGCCTTTAGAATGCGCTGCTACCGTTTCTTCAACTGCCACACCTCGCTGCCATAGGTTAATATAATTGTATGTATGTGTAAGTCGTTTTTATGGCGCGCTAAGGCGCTCTGCGACGTCTACCCACCACAGGAATCCGTTATTGTAGAGATCCTCCGGAGGCTGTCATCTCTTCATCTCTTGATGGATGCCCCCTACCTCCCGTTTGGATGGACGCCTTCTCCGTCGACTACCTGGTGGGGAGTTGGGGACCCACTCCAACACCTTCTTCGGCAACCAGGTATCAGCCATTCTCTGCACACGCCCATACCATACCAATTGCTTCGTCATGATATCGTGCACAATTGTCCACTCAACACCCATTATCTCGAAGTTTTCAAGTTGACGAGGACAGTTATGAGCGAAGTTGTGAATTGACCGGAGTTATAAACGGAGGGTGACTTACCTATGCCAAATGGTGTACATCTCGAAGGGGAGNGACAAAGACATGACGTCATAGCGACATGTCAGTCGCGAGCCGCCGCCCCGAGCGTCATAGCCCAAGCCCCACGCCCCGGCTCACCAACACCTGAAACAAAAAACGCCACCACGGATTCAGCATCGTCCTAGCGAAATTATAGACAAATCATAGAAATCATAGAAATCATAGAATCATAGAATCATAGAATCATAGAATCATAGAATCATAGAATCATAGAATCATAGAATCATAGAATCATAGAGTCATCGAATCATAGAATCATAGAATCATAGAATCATAGAATCATAGAATCATAGAATCATAGAATCATAGAATCATAGAATTATCATAGATAAAGTTTAAGACAAAGAAGACAAAGGAGATATGGAGGGATCATAGCAGGCATGGAACAGCATGCACTACCATGGTGCAGCCTCCGGGTTGCATGTGGCGCTACGTATGAAGCCACGCTTCCACAAGCAGCCCACGACGTTGAGTCAATCGGGCGAGCAGGTACGCAGTGATTTCAAACCTGTCTGCGGGCTGATTATTGAAACTGATAGACAAAGCTATAGACAATGAGGACAAAGGAGATATGAAGGGATCCTTGGTGGAAGCGGGTAGTTGCAATGAATAGAGGAGGTAGGTAATAGACTAAGTAACGAATGAACGTAACTTCATCCCAAGGTTGTAAAATTTACTAGAACAATTCAAATTTTTACAGAAATGCACCGGGGCGAATTCCGTTCAAAAGTTGTCTGATATTTGCACGGGATCAGATGAAAAATTAGTGAAATTTTTAGGTAGAAAACTAAAACATTCTTCAGCCAAAAACGAGATTTGTTCGAACTTTCGCCGTATGAACATTCGAGAGTTGCCAAATTTTCTCCTATAAAAGTTATATTTTTGTGGAATGTTATGAATATTTTTCCTGAAAAATTTAAGGAACTTTAGATGAATTTGCGAACAAAAACTCTAGATGAAATTGCGAATAAAATTATCTAAAAAGTTGGAAGGAGAGAATTCAAAAGTTTACCAGGAAATCCGTGTTTTATGCAAGGAAATTTCGCCAATCAACGCCTGAGGGTTTGGTTATAGGACATTTCGTCAACGATTTTTGTCCGCGCACCTGTTTTTTCCAGTAATTTACGTCTACGCGTTTTTTCGGCACGGGAGTTTTGGTTCACGTGCCAGTTGAGACCCAAAGTTAATTGGCCCACATGTAAATACAAACGACAATTGCTCACGACGTTTTTGGATGAAAATGTAAAATGTCTTGGAAGAATAATGGTTTGCTTGTTTTTTTTGTTTATTGATTATTCTCACTTAAATTGATGGGAAAAAATATGTATCAATTTACCAAAGGAAAATAATAATACAATATGTATTTTTCAAATATTGGTGGTTCGGTGTCAAATTCATTGATTTCCAAAGCACTTTAATTTTTTCTTTTACATTTTGTGCTTTTATTGTGCTGCAGCGAGGTGTACGCGCAACCAAACGCTCAAAATTTCACCTATTGACTCTAAAATATCGATGTACAAATGGGTTAAAACTAAAGATTGCGTGCTTCTTGGTTTTTTCCCCTCTTTTATTCATGTTTGCAGTTTCTGTCGGCACAACTGCGGCTTATTGAGATTAATGTCGCTTGGAAAAGTTTTTACAAATATTTGTCACGTTTTAAAAATATATATGTTTTCAAAATGAAGTCATAATTTCGTAAAGAAAAAATTAAATAGGTAATAGGTACTTTTTTTTAAAAAAAAAAAAAAAAAAAAAAAAAAAAAAAAAAAAAAAAGTCCAAATACACATATAAGGTATATTGTACATCGAATATTTTAAGGATGGAAATAAAACCAAATATTCACCGATGACAATTTAAAAAGATAATTCATAAGGAGAAAGTGATAACATTTCATTTAGAAAATGAGCAACCCTAACAATACCTCCTTCTCTCTCAATTTCACATTTCCATATTGTCAATATAATTTTACATACCGACTAAAATATAACGCTTGAACCAAGTCACTGTTGCTTATTTTACGTGTGGACGTAAACTACTGGTCAAAAAAGGTGCGCGGACAAAAATTCTTTGACAGAATGTCCTGAAACCAAGGGTTCATGTTTTGTCTTCCCTTAGCAAGCAGTATACTACTCTAGGCATGAAGCTCATATCCTTGTTTTTCTTGTATGAGTCCTGCTGGCCGATTATTGAAATTGATAGACAAGGCGATAGACAAATAAGACACAGGGAGTATGGAGCTATCCTTTTGGTTGAAATGGGTGTTTCCTATGGACTGAGGGAGATAATGATGGACTAATTATCGGGTTCTTCGTGGATTGCCGTTAGTAAGTCGATTACATACCTCCTTCGTCCATTAAAATCACCCGCTCCACCAATAGGATCCCTCTATATCTCTTTTTTCTTCTTGGTCTATAGCTTTGTCTATCGATTTCAATAATCGGCCCGCAGGAGTGGCATGTGTAGAAAGAAAAAAGATCAGAAAAACTTTCAAGGGCAAATTGTAAAACAAGACATGAGCAGTGACAACAATAATCTCAAGGAGCGCTGATTAATCAGTTTATTATTTCGACGTAAATCGCAGCAATAAGGCCCCGACCACCGCGATAATTATAAGGGGGAGCAGGAACCTGAGTGTCGTCAGGTTCGAGCTTAATTCATCCACTCCATTAGGCTCCCGAAATACCCACAAACTTATCCATAAAATAGATTAATGAGCCAACAATTCCTCATTTGCCAAATTTCAGATAAATTATTCTCCTTGCAGAGCCTTTGATTTAATTTGACATACTTGCTGTTGCATATGCAAAAATATGTAAATTCATCTTCTTGAGGCGTTAGCAGGAACGAAAATTTTTCTTGGCACTGATGTCTCTAACCTTGGTAGCGGCCATCATGGTCCAGGAAAAGAAAAATTGGATGTAGAAAATGAGAAAAATACTCCTGGGAAAACATTTTTGAAAAACTGAATGAGTGCACTTTTAGCCTTAGAGTCGTATTTGTAGTCGTTTCTTAAGCAGTTCCATTTTTTAGGAGGTCTCATATAGTTAGCATCGTGATAAGGAGAGGTTCAAGCAGACCCTCATTATAGCATCATGAAAAGGATGATTTCACCAAATCTTGAGTAAAATTTAAAAATGTATTACAAAAAGTCATCATAAAAAAGTACAAAATACGGAGGAAATAAACCGCGATTTTTGTACATATGAAGATGGCCTTAAATTTTGTCAAAATCATAGAATTTTTTCTGCTATATTTTTTTACTTTTCGCGTTGGTAACTCATTGTAATATCTTGCAAGGGTCCATTTCAAAAGTTATTCTGCTGAATTTCATTGGAGATTGTCAAAAATTGTCTTCATTATGATACTATGTTAAGGGTCTCTTTCACTGAAAAAAAACTGCGGACGTGAAAGCCGTTGTTACGGTCTATATAGCACCACCGGCCGTTGCGGACTCAAAGGCCAACAGTTACGGGTGGAGCAGACGTTGCTGCGGCCTCTGAGCCCTCAACGAACGGTAGTGCTATATAGCACGTAACTACGGTTTTCACGCCCGCTTTTTTTCCCCCCAATGTTGATCTTCCCTTAATTGCGATGTAAACCATTGGATCTGCCTAAGGATCAAAAGTAATTATATTTAAGCATGCTGTGACAGGAAGTTCTCGTTGGAACAGCAGAAAATCTCCTTGTTTTAATCTGCATTCCTATCATTTCAGAAAGACATCCGGTGCCTTGAGAGAGATTTCCGATTGATTCGACAGGAATTTCTGTCACAGCCTTGTTTAAATTTGTTTTTCCTTTCACCTCGTGTTGCTCTCATCTTGTCTGTGACCCAGATCGGGAAAACATAGACCATGATCGGGCAGTTAGCCGGAACTCGGCGTCGCGATAAACCCACTCGACAAAAGGAGCCCCTCAGCGAGGGGTTCCCAGATGGGTTTAAATTAACATCCTATTATCATAAGGCTGGCGCCGACTGCCCACCACTTTCCTTATGTAATGAATAATTTTTTAGCAACTCCCCCGGAGAGGTTGCTGAACCGTAACCGAGAGCGGATTTTTCTTGACCCCCATTTTATCTGCCCTTTATTGACACTCGTGCTGAAGGGAACTCTAAAGGGAGGGGGGTGAGGAAGCTCGACTATTAAGTTTTACAGAAATATCAACCCCTCCTCGTTATTTGTTTCCTTCGCCGAGTTGCTTTTCTGTCCTGTTACTGCCGCGCTAAAGAATAACGCCGTATGAACATTTGAGCGTTGGAAAATTGTCCCCTATACTAAGTTCATTTTTGAGAAAAGTTGTGAGTATAGTTCCTTCAAATTTCGGGAAAATTGTGATTGAATTGCAACTAAAATTGTCTTAAAAATCATAAAAAAACTATTCTCAAGTATTTCTGAAATTCTGCTTTTCAACAAAGAAAATTTGGCAAGGCCTGAAGGCTTATACGACGTTTTTCCACGGAGGTATGGGAGAACCTCCCTAAATGGGGTTCCGAGGCGTTGCTCAAAATGTCGTTGAAAAGTGGGTTCTTCCTTTATTTATCTTGCTCTCCGTTGACGAGATTTTGTCGGAGGAATGGTGCATTAGAGACCTCGCGCGAGCTATCCAATAGTACAGGGGGGATGCGAATGTTCCTTTCGGGGGTTTGAGATTTCCTTATGAGCAGTGGCACCCATTTGCGCCCAACTGTTGACGAGAGCCATGCAACGGCTTGCGAATAAAGTTTGTCAAACTAAGTTTTGCTAGTAAACAGAATAAGCGACGCAACGGTTCGCTTACTAACAATAAGTAAGATTCATAAAAAGAATGCAATGATCAACCCAGAAGAAGAAGAATAATAATAAATACCGCCCCTTGGTCTCTACCGTGGTCCCACCTCTAACCGTTCTCCGCGCCCTCTAAAGACCGATAAAACGCCTATACACTGAAAAAAAAACTCGGTGTATTTCCTAAGAAAAGGGCAAAATTACCAAGAATTCAGGGTTCTATTTGATCCCAGTTTTTTCTTGGTAAAATTATCATTTGTGGAATTGGTAATTTTACTGAGAAATCTCGGTAAAATTGATGAACTTTCTCGGTAATTTTA